ACCTTGTATACCTTGTATACATATACAATAAAAAAGTTGTGGTCCGAAGGTTTTGACCATCGAAATTTTGCAGTAGAAATAATAATTAGAACCAGAAGATTTTCTTCAAGGGCCACCAGGGAATAAGATTTTGAGAACGCTGAGATATCTTTTATATATACAAAAATAATCTAGTTCTTAACTTTAAAAAAATTAAAAGACAATATGTCCAAACAAACATTGACAAATTCTTGTACAGTTTAGTTAAAGATTATTCCTTATAATCAAATGGTCGGAGCTTCAAGTCAGATTTGTTAAGAAGAATTGAGTTATGGATGTATAAAGAAAAAAATTCCCGAACACAGCGATTTCTTCCAACCAATTTTCTTTGTTTTTACACTTATTGTATAATTACACCAATGCTGAAACATAATAACACACTATTACAGTCATGTCTACCGAATAAATTAAAGTATCTTAATTTTCTAATAAATCATCGTAAACTTCATTTAAAAAAATCTGATATATTCGACGGCAAATTGATTTTTTTTTTGTTTTATTGCTTTTTCTACAGAATATCTCCAGAAGAGGTCCAGATTCATTTTTTTTGGACTCTTCACCAGAAGGCGTTCTGGAGATGTACAGAAGTGACCAATGAAACACGCCCCAGGTTTAACATCAGTCTGACCAAAGACCACCTCTAATAACTATTTGCATATGAACAAACACAAGTGGATATAGTAGTGGATTTATTCATAATTCGATACGATTCTGGTATTGCAAGTGTAACGTTGGTAGCCTATATATATTAACTAAGAGACAAGCCATGTGTACTGATTAACATACTTTAATATATATAGGCTACCAATGTTACATTGGCGACGAGGATAAAAAAAAAGGTTGGAAATGTTAAAAATGTATTTTTATTGATTTATTAATTAGTGACACTGATAATTAAACCATGGCTGCATCTTTGCCAATTTTTCTGAGTTTTCCGGTACATGAGAACAATGCTGAAATAAGGTGGCGTAAATGGATAAGTAGACTAGAAAATTTATTCATCGGTTTGAACATAAAGGACAGCAAAAGACAAAGAGCACTATTGTGGCATTACGCTGGAGAAGATGTAAACGAAGTCTTTGATACCCTTGACAATACAGGAGAAGACTTTGCTGCCGCTAAACACAAGTTAACAGCTTACTTTGCTCCGAAAAAGAATACAGAATACGAAATCTACAAATTTAGGCAAGCCAAACAGACATCCGATGAAACTATCGACAGCTTTCACACGAGACTACGCCAGCTAGCTGTAAACTGTGAATTTACAGAAACATCTAAAGAAGTGAAATCACAAATAATCCAAGGTTGTCATTCAAAGAGACTAAGACGAAAGGCTCTCCGGGAAGACACGACCCTTGAAGGATTAATTTCATCAGCTAGAGCGTTAGAACTTTCCGAAAAACAGGCAACGGAAATTGAACAATCAGACAAACAATCCGCAAATGCTGTGAGAAAAGGAGGTGGAAAACGTCGCAACGGACCACGATTTCTACAGACACAAACAGACCAAAAGAAACAGACTACTTGCAGAAACTGTGGAGGTGAATTTCCGCATGAGTGTCCAGCATTTGGAAAAAGTTGTAACTCTTGTAAAAAGATGAATCATTTCGCCGTTGTATGCAGATCCAAACGTGATGGAACTAACACTTACAAAAGAAAAGTCAATAAAGTTGAAAATTATGAATATGATGATGCTCATGACAGCAGTTCGGATGATAGATACATATTCGGATTAAGAGAAAATACTGTGAACAAAGTACAGAAAGGACAACCGAAAATCAACGTGAAAATCAATAATTCTAATGTGGATATTTTAATCGACACAGGATCGAGTATTAATGTTATTGATGAAAGCACATTCGAGAACATCAAGTGTAAACCAAAACTTTCTCACGCCGGCACCAGAGTCTTCGCATATGGATCAGATAAAAATCTGAAGTTGATGGGAAAATTTCATGCTACGATAGAGACTAACCATAAAATAACAAACGCACCGGTGTATGTGATGAAAGGAAGATATGGGAATTTATTGTGCTATGATACATCTGTTGACTTAAGCATAGTGCCAGTCATTTCTTCAGTAGCAAATAAACATGAAATATTATGCAATAAATATAGCGATGTGTTCAATGGAATCGGTAAATTAAAAGATGAAAAAGTGAAAACTCATACTGATGAAAGTGTAAAACCGGTTATACAACCGCATAGGCTTATTCCGTTTCACATACGTAAGCAAGTGGAAGCAGAACTCGAGAAACTCGAAAAGCAAGATATAATTGAAAAGGTGGATGGACCAACACCTTGGGTGTCCCCGATAGTTGTGGCCCCTAAACCGACAAACAAGAACGAAATTCGATTATGCGTGGATATGAGGGAACCGAACAAGGCTATTTTGCGTTCACGTCATATTACACCAACACTTGATGACATGATCTTGGATTTAAACGGATCTAACGTATTATCGAAAATGGACCTTCGAAGTGGATATCATCAATTGGAGTTAAACGAGGAATCCCGGAACATCACAACCTTCACGACACACGTAGGATTACGTAGATACAAACGACTCAGTTTTGGTGTTTCGTCAGCCGCAGAGTTATTCCAAAACACACTTAGTACGAACATGATAAACGATTGGAAAAACTATTTTCACGTCTTAAAGAGAAGAACTTGACATTGAATAAGGAGGAATGTGAATTTAACAAGAATAAACTGGAATTCTATGGTCACATTTTTAGTGCAGATGGAATATCAGCCGATCCAAGGAAAATTAGCGCTGTCAAGAACACTACAATACCGAAAGACGAAGGTGAAATCCGTAGTTTATTAGCAATGACAAATTATGTTGGACGTTTCATTCCAAATTATTCAACTATAACTGAACCGCTCCGCAGGTTAACAAAGCAGGATTCCAAGTGGGAATGGACATCTGAACAACAGCAATCATTTGACAAGCTAAAGAATGAACTTGTTGCTGACCGTGTGATGTCATATTTTGACCCAAACAAAGAAACAATGTTGATAGTAGATGCAAGTCCCGTTGGATTAGCTGGATTATTAACACAAAATGGAAAAATAATCGCATATGCAAGCCGATCTTTAACAGATGTTGAAACACGCTATTCGCGAATAGAAAAGGAAGCATTAGCAATTGTATGGCCAATTGAACACTTTCACCTTTATTTGTACGGACAGTCTTTTACATTGGTATCCGATCACCAACCGCTGAAACTATTTTCAATAGTCCGAAGGCAAAAACACCAGCACGCATTGAACGATGGAGATTAAGATTACAGGGGTACAATTTCAAAGTACAGTACAAACCAGGAAAGGTGAACGCGGCCGATTATTTATCAAGACATCCGACCCCGAATACATCTATTGCATGTAAACATTCTCATGCAACTAGCAGAAGAATATGTCCGATACTTAACTGACAACGCTGTGCCGAAGGCAATGACCCTTAAAGAGATAGCTGAAAGTACACAAAAGGATAATGACCTACAAACTGTTATTACTGCATTAAAATCAAACAGGTGGGACAAGCATGAGAGTACTACGCTTGATACATTCTCAAGATTACGATATGAATTAACAGTCGTTCCCGTTAATGATATGGGGATCATACTTCATGATAATAGAATCGTTATTCCGAAAGATTTACAGATGCGTGTAATCGACCTTGCACACGAAGGGCACCAGGGCATAGTACGTACAAAACAGTTGTTACGTGAAAAGGTATACTTCCCTGGAATAGATAAACTTGTTGAACAAACGTGTAAATCATGCATACCATGTTTAGCGTCAACTCCGAAAAATGTTTTTGAACCGTTACAAATGTCCGAGATACCGAATAATGTATGGGAAAATCTCAGCATGGATTTCTATGGACCGTTTCCAAATGGCTATTACGTAATGGTAGTAATAGATGAATACTCAAGGTATCCTGTTATAGAAACCCTAACAAGTCTAACCGCAAAATCCGTCATACCACTACTTGATAAAACTTTCTCAATTTTTGGAATACCAAAGGAACTGAAAACATACAACGGACCTCCGTTTAATTCACAAGAATTCCGAAATTTCGCAAATAACATGGATTTTAAGCACCGCAAAATCACTCCGTTATGGCCCCGCGCTAACGCTGAAAGTGAACGATTTATGAGAACAATAGGGAAAGCAATTCGTGCAGCTCAAACGGAACATCGTAGCTGGAAGCAAGAAATACATACAACTATAGAGCAACACCACACGCAACAACTAACGTGTCACCGGCCGAACTTTTATTTGGAAGCACAATTAATACCAAAATGCCGAACATCCCAATAAATGATCAAGCCGAAAGTGAAGTGCGAAAAGAAGACCACAGAAACAAAAGTAAAATGAAGTCATATTTCGAGAAAAAAACATTCAGTTAAAGTATCTGATTTTACAGTAGGAGATACCGTCCTAGTTAAACAAGAAAAGAAAAAAACTGTCTACCCCGTATAATTCTCAACCATTAACAATCAAGAATAAAAAAGGGTAGTATGATTACGGCAACGAACGAACAACATAAAGACATAACTCGAAATTCGTCACACTTCAAAAAGGTTGGAAAATCTAAAATAATGACTGATGAGAAAATAGAAGAAGTTATTGATGATGACATTATACCAAACACATCATTGAGAAGATCATCACGAGAAAAACAAACACCAAAACATCTCGATGATTATGTTAAAGAGCTGTGTTACAGGAATAATCCTGTGCTCTTTCTGATGTATCAGTTAGGTTTGATGTTGATTTATATGTTTGTGAATTTATGATACAAATCAATTTGTGGAATTTACTATTCACACTCGTAATGATAGCCTCATCAGATTGATCAGATGATCCACTAATTATATTGACATTAGTACGCGTACCGAATAATTTACATTTATCACAGACTATAAAGTTCTAATTTTCTATTGATATCATTTTACGCATCTTATCACTTTATTTGTTAATACACAGACAGTTACAGATTTTATGACTACACAGACAGTAATATAATTAATTAAAGTAGAACTTTAATCTGAGAAAGGAAGAGATATAGTATTGTAACTTTCATTCATTCATAAATATTTATATAGTTCAAGAGTTCACGCACGTGTTGTGTGGATAGACATAGCAGATAAGGGCGCGTCATATTGCAATATGTATTTGTGTTGTTTACTTAGCTCTAGCATTATATTAAAGTATGTTAACCAGTACACATGGCTTGTCTCTTAGTTAATATATATAGGCTACCAACGTTACAGCAAGATGCTTTTAACTTCATACTTTGGCTTTTTTTTTACCTTTTTTATCGAGCGTCACGGATGAGTATTTTGTAGACGAAACGCGCGTCTGACGTATACAACTTTAATTCTGGTATTATGGCTATGCTGAGTTTATTGTACAAACAATGGAACATAAAATTTTCGAATTTAGGGCAACTACACAATAGTTCTTGGATTTCAGTTATTTTTGTTCGTAAAAAGAATTTAATGTGCAAGTCAAATGACACGATACAGGACTGCCTTCCAGTTGCTCCAGATAACAAGTAAAGTGTTACTACTTTTCTCAAAGTACACACCTTCAGGTGCATAAATCATATCAATACTTGACAAAAGTTGATGTTCTCTTTTACCGTCGGCAGATATGATTTCAATTGAATAGGACCAGAAGTTTGCAGCAAAGCAATTTCCAAACTGATCGAATGAAACACCAGAATCAGCAGAAGATGATCGCCATATCTCTTTTCCACTGAAATCACAGCATGCAATGTAGCGATTGTCTGGATTATAAACATCATTACTACTATAAACGAACTTGTCATTGGACATGGATAAGTAACCAAATTCTGTAGAAATGTCTACCGGGATTTCTCTGACAAAATATCCATCTAAATCAAACTCATGGATTCCTTTATTTTGGATGAGGACGTAGAATTTGTCCTTGTAGTAAGATAAGCCGTGACATGTTCCGTTGACATCAATGTTTTGCGTCACCACACACTCATCAATGTTCACTATATTGATTGATTCAGAATCACTACATGATACTGCCACAGTATTATTAGTAATCACTGCTAAATCGTAAGGATAACGTCCAACATCAATACTTGTAGAATTCTGTCCATCCTTTCTGTACACTGATATTTGATTTTTTTCACAGAGAGCAAAAACCATTCTGCCTCCAGGTACAATAATGCATCCTGCATAAACCCCTTCCTGCAACTGAATTTTCTGTTCTAGTTTTAGTTGCATCTTATCTATATCTCGGATTGCTGTAGTTGGTACAACTAACTGTGCTCTCTTCTGATCCCATGCTCCTACCTTAATCTGACACGGCCTCTTAACAGTTTGTATTTCGCCGTAAGAATTCAATTCGGAAAACAGTTGCTCTAACTGTGGGTTTATTTGTAGCATAAGGGAACACCCGCGTGCAGCATCTTGCTGACAAATTTTCGAAGCCAAATTTTCTTCTTCACATAATTTTGCTTTAAGACTTTTTGTAACTAAGAAGACCTGAACATCTGATAAACCTTCTTTTACTTGTTTTATTGATTTCCTGGTCTGTTCAAGGCTTTGTTCCTTTTCTTTTATTTTTGACACCAACTGGTCAAGTTCTGACAAATTTAGACTGACTTTAGTATCTAAAGCTTTCAATATGTTTGCCTCCATCTCGTCTAATCGTTTAGTTAACCGTTCCTTTAAAGCCCTGATTTTTATAGAGATTGTTTTCTTGTCGTCTTTTATTGTATCGATATTCTGTTTTCTGTTATTTTGAAGCTTTTCCAGAGTTTTTCCAATTTCTTCAAAACCTCTTTCGATGTCTAATATGTTGGCAGAATTCTTTGCATGACGGACAAGTTCGTCTATTGGTTTTAGTCCAGTGCACTGCCGATGAGTTTCCGGTATGCACAATCCGCAGGCAGTCCCCTCGTGGTCAAGGCAGTAAAATCCTATCATCTGGTCATGTTTCTCGCACACCTGCTTGATGCTGAAAGAAAATGTTTCAAGACTTGCATACTGATTGATAGGTATTGTCTCGTGTTTTCGGCTCGCCTTGTTAATCTTATGATGACCCAAGCATGTCCTACATAAGCCCTCTTCACAGGTCGTACACCACACAATGGCAGCTTCTGTGATGTGTTGTACGTCACACGAACCACATACTTTCCCACTTGATAAAGCCATCCTGAAAAAAAAATTATTAGCTACTTCATGCTTATTGTTTAATACTACTTTTAAGGATTACGATCTGAAAGCTATTTCATATAGTGGGTTTTCCTGTATAAACTATAGGTTTCATGACGTCATGAGTATTAAGAGTGCAACACAATATTTTGCTGTAAACTTAGTATATGGTTTAATGATGTCTCAATTTGGCCCTTCATTCATTAATTTAACATTGTTTGATTTTTTTTATTCTGGTTTTCCGAAATGTTTTATCATCATTACTCTTGAAAACAGTTGTTCGGCACTGCTTTGAAAATACTCCCTGATAACACGGCCCATAACAAACTCGGACTACTAGAAGATTGTAAGTTTGATAAACGATGATATTTACTTTATTTGAATTAATTATCAGTACCTAATTTTAAATTGATTATGAGTTAGAATAATCAAATAATTTATTTTGAACATATTACATGCAAGAAATACAAATTAATTTAACAAGATATAAAATGAAAAGAAAGACTAGAGACTCTGGATTTGGTTTACAGAATAGAAAATAATGGACTATTACTACAAAATAATGTGCCTAAAAATAAAGAAAAGAGAATAATGGGGTGTTAAAATATAAAGATTATAGACTTCTTGGTAAAATATATAAAGAATAAAGAAAAATGGTAAAGAATACAAGAATGAAGGTCCCCATATCCCATCCAGACCTTCAGACTAATTTCAGTTGTAATTTACAACATTTGTCTTTTCTTTTCTCTTATTTTTCATTTTCTTTATTTCCGTATTTATATCATATGCACAGCGAGAATATCCCGCACCCGGAGGCAGGCTTCCAGAGCCACGTCATATGTTTCAAAGAAACACAAAAAGGCATATAGACAAATCACATTAGCAAAAATAAAAGAGAAGAATGCAAAAATTATCATAGAACAATAACACAATGATGGGATGTATAAGTACAGAGCTACGGCATATGTATCAAAGAAACACAAAACGGCATATAGACAAATAAACTCATCAAAGATACCAAGACTGAAATTTTATATTTGCGCCAGACGTGCGTTTCATCTACAATAGACTCATCAGTGACGCTCGAATAAAAAAATGTTAAAAAGGCCAAACAAAGTACGAAGTTGAAGAGCATTGAGGATCAAAAATTCCTAAAAGTTTTGCCAAATACAGCTAAGGTAACCTATTCCTGAGGTAGAAAAGCCTTAGTTTTTCAAAAATTCAAAGTTTTGTAAACAGTTAACTTATAATTATGACCATATCAATGATAATTCATGTCAACACAGAAGTGCTGACTACTGGGCTGGTGATACCCTCGGGGAATAAAAACTCCACCAGCAGTGGCCTCGACCCATTGGTTGTAAATAAACTCATCACAGATACCAGGATGCGCCAGACGCGCGTTTCGTCTACAAAGGACTCATCAGTGACGCTCAAATAAAAAAATGTCAAAAAGGCCAAACAAAGTACGAAGCTGAAGAGCATTCAGGAACAAAAATTCCTAAAAGTTTTGCCAAATACAGCTAAGGTAACCTATTCCTGAGGTAGAAAAGCCTTAGTTTTTCAAAAATTCAAATTTTTGTAAACAGTTAATTTATAATTATGATCATAACAATGATAATTCATGTCAACTCAGAAGTGCTGACTACTGAGCTGGTGATACCCTCGGGGAATAAAAACTCCACCAGCAGTGGCATCGACCCAGTGGTTGTAAATGAACTCATCATAGATACCAGGATTGAAATATTATATTTGCACCAGACGCGCGTTTCGTCTACAAAAGACTCATCAGTGACGCTTGAATAAAAAAATGTTAAAAAGGCCAAACAAAGTACAAAGTTGAAGAGCATTGAGGATCAAAAATTCCTAAAAGTTTTGCCAAATACAGCTGAGGCAATGCCCATTAGCATAAATGAAAGACAAGAATACAAAAACTATTAGAACAATAACACAATGAGGGATAAATGAAATATCCAATGTAAGGTAATTATCCTTAATCATGTTAATTTATAGTATAATGTTTAAACTTTATATCTCAATATTAAACTTCATTCAATATAAACACAGTTTATTTAGTACATTTTTATATATTTTTTCTTAGAAATATCTTTTATTATCTCATAAATTCGTTAATAACGTTTTTTGTTAGGACGATTTTGTTACACATTGTTACATTCCGAGTTTGTTATAGTTCGAATTTTTTATAGACCATTTTTTTTTCAGCCGATTTATCAAGCAGCAATTTAACATGTTTGAGGCCCTTTATAGCTTGCTGTTCGGTGTGAGCCAATGCTCCGTGTTGAAGGCCGTACCTTGACCTATAATGGTTTACTTTTATAAATTGTAACTTGGATGGAGAGTTGTCTCATTGGCACTCTTACCACATCTTCCTATATCTATTAAAAACTATTCCGAGACATTGATATGAATTTCACAGAAGTCTAGTAAGCGATCACGTACAGCAGGACGGACAGTTGATCGGCGTTTCTAGGTCCCCACACCGCGGAAATGAAGATCTTGTTATCTGAATGTTTCGCAACTCAAATTAAGATTTTTAATAAGAGATGAATCAGAACATGTTTAAACATTAAAAGTTAAAGAAAACTGAACTAGAGGTTCACAGAGCCTGTATGGCTCGTCCGGGATTTATTTGTATAAAATTGATACAATGCAATAACAAAAAATTCGATTGTGCAGCATGTGCAATTAAAACTAATGAAACGATGATTCGAACATCAAAGAGTGTAGTCTAATGTTAATAAATGAAGATCAATTCAATTACTATGAGCAACTTCTACAATAAAAGGGTACCACTAGCTTGAAAATAAGAAGATTAAGATATTTTAAATCAAAATTGCCATTGAAATGGAAGAATAGAAACTGTAAATTCGATGTCCATTATACTTACAAGATCTGAGTGTTACAAAATATATCAGTTAAGTATGTGTGATTGTTAGTAATACAAAAATAAAACATACCTTTTTCTGATTTATCTGTTGTTTTATAGCTACTATTTAAGAATTTTTAAAATTGGACAAGGAAGTTGAATGCATTTGCCGTGCCTAGTCACTGACATGTAAATGTCGGTCGTTAAACTTCAACGGTTATTTCCCTTTAAACATAAGTTCAAAATGTAGTTGTTTTTATTTATATTTATCATAAGCTCAGCATTTGAAAAAGAATTGTTTTTTAACAATGTGCAATAGATTGATTTTAATTTTTAGAGTTTTCATATGGACCTTGCACAAAGAAACGACGTTCATGATAAATGTTGTATCCTATTGAAAAAGTTGTAATCGTGTACGCCTGTTATCAACAGTTTCTCTAAGTGTTTAATTTATGATACTGCGAAGTACTCCCTATTTCTAAATACTTTACAAGGCGTGTATTTCAGATGTTAGTCTTAGAAAACATGGTGAATTTATAGAGAGGTCGGTGCAATGATGTTTTAAATTCTAATTAACGAAAACGTCTATAAAGGGTAACAAAATAGTAAGGAAAAGTTCAAAGTGTGAGAAGTGAACATCAAAGATAGGTAGTCGTAGGTATCTCAAGAACCAGTATTAAGTATTCTTTTCTTTCTTTTTAATAATTACTAGTTATCAAGTAACATAGTCATTTCTCAATGATTCTTAGATTAAATGAATGTTGTAAGTATTGAAATATTAAGTCCGAACAGTTATATATGAGTAACCAGTGAAATGTTTTATAATCTGTTGTAAAACAAACGTTGAAGATTTAAATTTGTAAAATCGGAAAACATGTTTTAAATGTTAATTCAAATCTGATGCTTTCTAAATCTTTTCTTTGCCAAAAAAGGTCGCAATGCCATCATCTCTGGCAATGTCCTTCATCATAAATCAGTTCAATCTCTCTTTCTCTCTTTCTCTCTCTCTCTCTCTCTCTCTCTCTCTCTCTCAAATATATTCAACCAATTGTATTAACAATCAAAGTCGAGCTTCAGACTTATTGTGAAACTGCCCACATTAGGGCTGTATGAATCAGATGGCGTACTTAAAAATGTAAAAGATATGTTAAAGTTCTACATGCAATCTTAGTCACTTTTCTCTTATAACAGTATAAAAGCCTTCGACTTTTCTAATCTTTACCATGTTTACATAAGTATTATTCATTCCAAACATAAGACAAATTATAAGAATTTGTTAATATGCTTTGTTTCATAAAAAATAATGACCAACTCATATATAAATATCTTATTTTAGGGAGGTACAAATCCTCTTTGAAAAAAAAAAACACTCTGATATATAAAAAAAAACACTCTCTGAAACTGATATTATCGAGATGCTTATTTTCTTGATAGACACCATATTTGGAAGATGTGTTTTTTAACAAGTAATCGATTATTCAATGGGAACCAACTTTGTTCGTCTTCTTGTCTGCTTGTCTCTCTATTCATAACGGCTGACTTCATATACATGATCTTCTTAGGAAGATTGAAAAGACGCTAGCATTTTCCTTTAATTTCATGTTCCGCTTTATAGATGATGTCCTCTCACTTTGCATCAAGTGTGACATCACCAAATTAAAACTTAACACAGAGTTTGTACTAACATGAGCACATGTGCAGTAGGATCTCCTAACCTTTCCGGGTCATTTGAGATCACTAAAGGTCTGTTTTATTTTATTTTATTTTTTTTTTTGGAGTGGGTGCCGTGTTGTTCAGTCTTTAGTTTTATATGTTCTGGTTTGTATATTGACTGCTGTTTTCAATGGTTTATCGTCAAATAATATTTTATTCCAAAACCAAGTACAGTTAACAGGATATATGCAATATTTGAACAAATTATTTTATATGCACCATATCACATAAACAGATATATAATCAAATTTTAACTACATTGAAATACATTAAATCAATCTTATACATAATTCAATATTAGGTATAACGCAGAGTATGTATCATAGACATAGTACTGTCAATATAAGCAATGAGTTTCTCAGCTAATTTTAGGTATTTACCGAGATTGTTTAGTTTTTTTAATATTTTGTACAGATAACAATTGTATCAATTTATAAGTAGATGGGTGTCTCCAACACTATTGTGTGATATATGTTTCCCTAATGTCTACATTTGTCATGGCGTTTTCAGTTTGTCATCATGAGTTTGAATATTAATTTTGGTATCTTCCGTCTCTCTTTTTTTTATTATTATGATTGTGACAATGTCAACATAATTAGGGCAAAAATTTACGAAAAATTGTGTAGACTGAAATAAGAATTTATGAAATAAGCGGAAAGTGACCAAAAGGCAGGTTTAGATTAACATGATTAAGGTAATTTCAATTATTGAACAGACTACTAGTAGATGGTTACATGTACTTGTCCCGTCCGACAGACTTTTTACTGCTTTAAATATACATGTACGTTTATTAAAACATAACATCAACAATTTTATGCTTATGGTATTGTGGTACAAAAAATGAAAATGCAAGTCAATATATCTAATACCGGTATATGTTAGACAAACATAAGGTTGCACAGGTCATATATTTGAGTGATTTAGTATGTTTGAGTAGTACAAAAATAGTTTGAAATCAAATGTGCAAATTAAATTACACGATACAGGGCTGCCATCCCTCTTTCGCAGGTAACAAGTAAAGTATTATTACTTTTGTCAAAGTACACGGCTTCCGGATGATAAATCCCTTCCCTTTTTGAAAAAAATTGTTTTTCTCTTTTACCGTTCGAAGATATTATTTTTAATGTATTGGACCAATAGTGTGCAGCACAATAATTACCAAACTGATCGACAGCAATACCAGAACCAGCGAAATGTGATCGCCATTTCTGTTTTCCGCTTAAATCACAGCATGTAATGTTACAATTCCACGCACACTCATTACTAGTATAAACAAAATTGTCCTTGTAAATGGATAAGTAGTCATTGCTGTCCGGAATGTCTTCTGGAATTGTTCTGAGCAGATATCCATCAACATCAAACTCACGTATTCCTTTGTTTTTGACGAGGACATAAAGTTTATCCTTGTAGAATGCTAAGCCGTTACATGCACCACCGACATCAATGCTTTGCTTCACAATCTCCTCATCAATGTTCACAATATTGATTGATTTAGAATCTTTATACGATACTGCCACAGTGTTATTGTTAATTACTGTTAAACCATTAGGACACTTTTCAACCTTTATATTTGTAGAAATCGTTCCATCCTTTTTGTACACTGACAGTTGATTTCCAAAACAAAGAGCAAAAACCATTCTACCGTCTGGGACAATAATACATCCTCTATGTGTATCTTCAGTTTACTGAAATGTACGTTCTGGTTTCAGCTGTATATTATCTATATCACAGATTTTAGTAAATAATATAGTAGGTTCATTAATTTGCGCTCTTTTTTGCTCCCATGCTCGAACGTTGATCTGACAGGGTTTCCGGTAAACTTGTATTTGCCTGTAAGATCTCAATTCCGAAAACAGTTTCTCTAAACTTGGATTGATTTTTAACTTTAGACTAGTAACTTTTGCGGCATCTAGTTGACAAATTGTCGAAGCCCACTGTTCTATCTCGTGTAATTTTGTCCTAAGATATTTTGTGACTAAGAAGACATGAACATCTGACAATCCATAATTTACTTGTTTTATTATGTTTATTGTTTTCTTTATCTGCTCAATGCTTTTTTCCTTTTCTTCCATTTCTGACAAAAAACTGGTGAAGTTCGGACAAATTCCGATTGGCGTTTGTATCTAAATCTTTTAATATACTTGACTCAATTTCGTCTAAATGTTTATCAAATTGTTCTCTTAAAGACTCAATTTTCGTGGTGATAGTTTTCTTGTCATCTTTTATTGCATTGATGTTCTGTTTTCTGTTTTTTTAAGTTCTTCCAAAGTTTTTCCCAGTTCTCTAAAACCTGTTTCGACGTCCAATAAATCTTTGCATGACGGGCAAGTTCGTTTATTGGTTTTAACCCGGTGCACTGCCGATGATTTTCTTGTATGCACATTCCACAGGTAGTAACGTCGTGGTCAAGACAGTAAAAGATTATCTTCTGGTCATGTTTCTCGCATTCCTGCTTGATGCTAGAAGAAAATTATTCAACATTTGCATACAAACTGATTTGTATGGCCTGTTGTTTACGACTCGCCTTGTTAGCCTTGTGATGTTCAACGCATATGCTACACAATCCCTCGTCACAGGTAGTGCACCCGAAAATGGCAGCTGATGTAATGTGTCTGAATTTGCATGACCCACACAGCTTAGAACTGGATGCTGCCATCCTGGAAAATAAAAGTAATTTACTAACTCCATGTTTAGAAATTTTTTTAAGAAGGCGCTAAAAAAAGGTGTTTATCTTACATGGGTAATAAAAACATCATTCTAAAACCAAAATGTATTGGGATATTATCTGGGTACCCCTCAGTGAAAGAAGATCTAAACATTAAATCATGAAATTTCCCAAAATGTTTCATATTCAAGCCAATGATTATCTGTGCTGACTCGTACATCAACAATGTTACCAAGTTTATTGAATAACTTACCAAAGCGCTTAAGAGGGATGCAATTTTCAAATTGTTGTTTTCATTTTTTTACCATATAATTTAAGATGTAATCAATCAAATATTACATTAAAAAAACATTATTCAAATCGTGATTTTAAGTACGTTCCTTCAAAATATAATTGCAACAGGAAATGTTAGGTGCTTCAAATCAGGCTAAGGTTGAACTGCAGTGGTTTAAATGAATACCTTTTCCAGAAAAATATTGTTCAATCCAACCATTGTAAGTGTGAACAAGTTGAGAACAGGAAGCACTTTCTACTTTACTGTCATACCATCATCGACCCTCTAACAGGGAATATTATTATACACACCTTATAATTATTCAGGTAGTGAACTACTCAGTATAGAGGAAAACAAAATATTTTTATAGTGAGATTTGGCGCCTTATACTGTTTGTTATTTTAATTTATATATTGTTAATGAACTTGAGATTGTGTAATACATTCATAAATACATATTCAAATCAAAGAGTGTCATTCGAAGTGAGATGATCACATCTTTCGATCTAATTTGGAAAAACCACATAATAAATATACACTTATTGCATATTGTATTGA